TTTTTTTTTTTTTTTTTTTTTTTTTCTTGAGACCGGCCGCACTGCGCTCAGCCAGTGAGCAGCCGGTCTGTATGTGGGATCTGAACCCTTGGCGGGAGCGCTGCCGCGCTCCCAAGCTGCGCACTGTAGCAGTGCGCCACCGGGCCGGCCCCAGGACAAACATTTCTATTCATCACCAAAGCTTTCCTGGGGAGAGCACTGTTTTGTTTAGAAGAAATATTTGGGTTAGCAAATACGTGGTTAAGAACATAGACTTTGGGGCCGAGCCTGTGGCACACTCAGGAGAGTGTGGCGCTGAGAGCGCGGTAGCGCTCCCGCTGCGGGTTCGGATCCTATATAGGGACGGCAGCTGCGCTCACTGGCTGAGCGCAGTGCGGCCGGTCTCAAGAAAAAAAAAAAAAAAGAACATAGACTTTGAGGATAGATTTCTTAGTTTTGAGTCATGGCTCTGCCACCTAATGGCTGTGAAAATTTGAGAAGTTCTTAATTTGTCTATGCCTCAATTTCTTCATATGTAAAATGGGGGTAATATTAATAGGACCTACCTACGAGGGTTGTTGTGAGGATTATGTGAACTAGTATGTGTAAAGGACTTAAGAGTTCCTGGCACATATAAACGCTTAGTAAGGGCTAGCTGTTACTATTACTACTAATTAAACCATTAGTGGTGTGGGGGTGACTTCAAGGAAGCAAAGTTGATCCCCTAATTCTGCCTGTCAGAAGAGTAGTCCTGATCACTATGGGCTTTCTGTTTTGGCGAGCACTTGTATGATGTTTGAGGAAAATTGCTGAAGCCAAATTGATTTACTATGCCAATGAGGGAGGAGGTAACTTTCACACTGGCAGGAGAGGGAGGCAGGATTCATTTGTGTATTCAACATGTATTTACTGAACATCTATTTTGTGTGCTAGACATAAAGGAAAATAAGATAGCCACAGCCTTTACAGAGGCTGACAAAAAATCAAGAAAGGAGAGAGAAGCTAGAGAGCTAGACAGTCTAGGTACTGGGGGTGAAATCCGGAGAAGGACAGACCAATTTATCTCTAGTGGGTGTGGCACAGCAGAGGAGGATCTAGAGAGAACAGAAATGCTAAGGCAGGATCTTAAAGCATCTGCTCTAGGATGTGTCATGTAAATCCTTTTCTCCACCTCCTCTATGAAATTTTCAATAAAGTTTTCATTGCTCACTGGAGAGAGCCTAAAGAAGGGGAAGATAGCAGATATCTAGGTTATAGCTGCTGGGGGACAGATGCTATACACAAAAAGCCCTTCCTTACTATTGTGTGCTATCAGTAAGGAAACATTCTAGTGTATGGAATATTTAATGATTATAAATGACATCCCTGTGCACTGCTAATGCAAGTGTCTTTAAAATGAATATGAATTAGACAGTACCAATAACAATCACATTAACTGAAGAGAAGAGACATTAGGAAACTTGAGACCCTTAGAGAAAAGGGGCCATATCTGAAGTTGGGAGTCAGATATGACCACCAAGCAGTCCCTTTGTATTAGTCAAATTGGTGATTCCTCAGCAACTACAACTTGTTACTTTATAAACTATTGCCTTCAATGATGCAGACTTTCTTAAACATAAATGTCCTAAGGTTTAGGTGTGGGGAAGGAAGCAGTGCTCTCTATACTTACTTTCCCCATCCTTTTACGACTTCTAGTTTTCCACTTTTATATCTTGTCAGCATCTTTTAAAATAACCATTAAAGAAATGTATATGTATTTTTCAAATAGCAGCAGCCTAAGAAGTAATCAGTCGTCAACCTAAATAAAACAATCAATTTGTCTGGATTTCCAAGAGTGAAGTAAATAAAACTGTTGAAATTTACCTACACAAATTGAGACTTTGGGGGGAAAAGAGAAATAAACTAGTTTTCTTCTTTCTTCTTAGATTTGTTTACTGTATAAACTCTGGGGTTTCTGCATCTTGTAATGTGACTTCTGATTAAAAAGATATATGGTTATTACTCTTCTCAAAGCACTATGCAAATTCACATCACCTTGGGTGTATTTTGCCCCCACAGCCATGAAGTGAATATGGAAGCATTTTGTAGTTAAGGAGGTTAAAATATGTTAACTCAAATACCTTGCTCTGAATAGGATTTTCCTTTAAATTATTAATGAGAAAATGAAGACAGCTTGGGTGGTCAAGCATGAAATGTAAGTGAGAGTAGTTTTCTTTTTTAGGCCTTATTATCCCATGTCACCTGATGTTGAAATTTATATTTGATAATGTAGAAAATGACCTTACAATTTGCAGTATATGAAACAATGCAGCTTATGTCTCAGATATTTTGGCAGCAGTATTGAAACTATGATTTTTAAGCACTATTTTCAAATGACAAGGTCAGTGAAAAAACTAGATATTTTGAATCAGGTGGAGTAAGAAAAAGAGCTTGCCTGTCCTTTATCTAAGGGACCATATTTTTAAAATAAAAAATTAAAATAGAGGGTGTTAGAGCAAAGTAGCGAAAACCTAGACCTCTTTAAATGTCTGTAAGCTACTGCTGAAGTTCCTGAAGGGCCAAATTATACAGGAAGATAATACAGGAAGCATATAATTTTTCCCTCTTATTAAAATAAGGAATTTTTTTTTAAGAGCAGAAAAAGACTTTACAAACCTCTTTTCAGCTTTTTAGTGTCTAATGGGCCTCAGAATGGCAACCATCTCCTATTGCCAGGCAGCTGGTGAGAAATGCAAAGAAGAGCTGCCATCAGAGACTCAGGAAAATCAAGGTGGACATCAGGCCCTGGCTTCTACCATTCTTCCATCAGAAAGAGAAAAATTCAAAGAAAGGGCAAAGAAAAATGCACACGTTTTAGCCAGGTATTAACCATATTACCTTCTTAAAGATGTCTGATCCTACAATTATAAGCTTTTCAGCTTAGGTGTTAGTGGTTCATTATTTTCTTTTCTTGGACCTCAAGGGAAAAAATAAAAGACCTTACGGTATCACAAATTTCTATAAAAACAGAATATGATTTCATTTATTATCCTTCGGTAAACTGTGAAATTTGTGCCAGCTTTTGAGGTGTCCCAAGATTTGGGATAACTAAGTTCATGGCAAAGTTAAACAATGATTCAAGCTAGTGCTTGAATATCCTAAGTTTATTTTACTTTAAAACATTCTAAGTATACTTTCCTTTGGAAGACAGCGGCAACAGCAATGCACCACCATCCAGAACTGTGCATTCTTAAACCAACAAGCCTCTTACGACATGGGAATAATTCTAAGGACACACCCTTGAGCAATCATCACATGCACTGTGCTCTTGAGAATATTCTGGAAGCATTCTCAAGAGCACAGTGAACAGCTGCTTCTCTGTAGTGGAGAGAAATGAAATTCAGCAGAAGCAGCAGCTTTAGGGAAGAGAAACTCGGTTTGCTTCTTACAGTGCTTCTGCTGGGATGGGTTTACTCAGACCTACATTCGTCTGGAGCTTTAAATCTGTGGAACTTTGAATATCACCCCGCCTCTTTTGAAGTTACGAAATACCTTCTGTCTATGCGGCGGCGGGAATGGGAAGTTTGTAAAATTAAATGCCTCAGACCTCAGGTAATCCAGATGACATACATGCATTATCACTACATGAAGAATTTATTCAACCCAATCCTTTGCACCTAATTACCCAGGGCACAGAAATGCTCCAAATTTTGCACCCCACGAAAGGAGGGAAAATGCAAGGGTCTTGCAGCAGTTCCTGGGATGTACAGACAGCCGCTTTGTTACAAGTGTATCCAATGTCCCCAGCACCAGGGACTTGTGGGGCGCCGCTCACCCCTGCTCCACTCACTCTGCAGCTCCCAGTGGTGGCGGCTGTGCTATAATGGCAGACCCCACCAAGCTGGCCGACAAGATGCTACGCACCCCCAAGTGCTCAAGGTGCCGGAACCATGGCTTCCTGGTACCCATCAAGGGCCATGCGGGCAGGTGCCACTGGAAGCAATGTGCCTGCGAGAAGTGCTACCTGATCACCGAGCGCCAGAAGATCATGGCTGCGCAGAAGGTGCTCAAGAAGCAGGCCTCCGACGAGGAGCAGGAGGTGGCCCTGTGCGTGCCGGGGCCCGAGGTGGCCTCCGGGGTGGCCTCCGCGGCGGCAGCCAGTGCCCCAGGCTCGAGCCTCAGTGCGCTGCCTCCGCTGGCCGCTTCAGGAGTCGCTGAGCCGGGGCCTCAGGGCCGCACGGCCACCTGCTTTCCTGAGAGGCCCCCACCGGGCCCAAGCCCCGGGCCGAGCGCCTTCCAGCCAGTTTTGGGCGGCTGCGGCCCCCTGGGGCCGAGCCATCGAGCAACCGGGGCGATGCCCAGTATTGTGGGGCCCCAGCTCGGGGTGGAGGCCGCAGGCAGGGCGTGCCCTGGCCATCTGGAGCCGCGCAGGCCGCTGCGGCCCGTGCCCAGCCTGCCATTCGCCGACCATGGTAAGATTCTCAGGCCCTGCCGTCGGATCCCGTCCGGGCTGCAGCCTTCCTTCTCCCCAAGCTGGCGGCCCAGGCCAGCCCCGCTGGGGTGGAGGGTTGGGACGCGGAAAGTGCTTTCCAGAGGCAACCTCGCTTTGAGAAACCCTTCTCTAAACGGGGATTTGCGTTGGGTGCCTTTCTGCAGAAAGGAAAAAAGAGAAATAGGGAGGAGTGGGTGATCCAGAGCGCTTATAACATTTAGCTGCAGTCTTTGCTCTTTGGTCTTGCAAAAAGAAAATGGCCCCCAGTGGGTTTAGCAGGCACTTCTCCTCCGGGAGGCCATAGAAATCAGTCCAACTGCGCTTGCGCACCTCTTCCCGCCCTTTTCGTGGGCTGGAGGCTCCTCCCCAGAATTTCGGGGGGGGGGGCTACTCGACTGTGACTGCGCCTGCGTACTCCCCCTCTTCCACGGTATGGAGACTCCTCCCCTCAGCAGTGTCCTGGCCCAGTGCGCATGTGCACCCCGCCCACCGTCTCCCTCGGTGTAGGTGGCGACTAGGGAGCAGTTGGTCTCCTACCGAGCTGTTACTTCCTTTTCCTCCCTCACCTTTTGCATAAATTACATGGTTCCCTGTCTTGCTGTTTTGTTAAAGTACAATTTCAAGTCACACGAGGCTTTTGAAAAACGGCTCTTTTTGGGTGCAGACGTGTTTCCTTGGTATTTTCTCAAAAATGCAGTGGGATAGAAAGGGCACAGGTCTGAGGCTGGGGGCTGCTCACCCTTGTAAGTTTGGGCAAGCTCCTTCCTCCTGTGGCAGTCTCTCCCGTCTGTATGCTAAGGGAATTTGTCTGGATGCTCTCTGAAGATCATTTTTGCCTTCTGGGACGTTCTAGGACAATCTAGGTTCCCAGGGAACTATCTGTGTGATAGGGAAAGCAGATGTGAAACAGCAATCTGAGGGGAAGGCTACCTTTCCAAGGACGTAGGGTGCCTTTCTTCGTTCCCCCTCTCAACAGAGACTGAGCACTTACAATGTACCTGACACTGGTGTGGAGGGGGAGTCCCATGGCTTGCCCTCAAGGATCTTGTCCTTTTGGGAGGTACAGTGCTGACCAAAGAATCACACAAATCAATGTATAGAGCTCATTGGATGATTTAGCTGGTCTGAAGGAAGAGGAGGAGCTGAGGTCTGAGGACTTAAAGAGACAAAGTGGGGTGAGGGAAGAAAGCCTTCTAAGCCAAGGGAACAGCATCTGCAAAGGCCTTAAGGTGTATGAGAAGCAAGAAGTTGCTAGGTTACAGAACATGATGAGGTCGGAGTGGAGACAGGAGCAGGGGGAGAGAAGCCCCTACATGGGGCTTCATGGCTGGGCTAAGGAAATTCTCTAAGAGCTGTGGGCCGTGGTTGAAGGATTAGAAAGCAGTGAGGTCAAAATTATAATGGTTCTTTGTAAATAGATATGAGTACTTATCATCCTGCTACCCTTGGACAGTGATGTGATGCTCTTTTTCCCAGCTCTGGGTTTCTAATAACTTCCCTCATTGCTTGCCTTCTTCAGGGCTTCCTCTGAGCATCAACTCAGATTGTGTGGTACGGTCTGAGTACCTGGAGAGAGAGCCTTCCAAGCTGTACCCCAGCTGCTCCAGCATGCACTCCTACTGCCCATTCCCACTGGGCTACCAGGATGCACCCCCAACCCCGGGGATCCCTCTGCAGCAGGGCTTTCGGCATGTCTCCTGCAGCCACTACCACGGAGGAAGCTTGGTGAGTCCCATACCTGACTCCTTTCCAGTTTCCCCTTCCTCCCAGCTGCCTTTGCTGCCTTTGCTGCCTTTGCGGATCCTCACTCCCAGGAAGCCAGGTGTAATAAATGGTGTACCCACTCTATTCTGAGCACTGGTAGGAGGGATACAGTACGACCGTGGATAGTGCGTCTCTCTGGGAATGCACAGTGTGGACAAGTCTGCACCACTTGGCCTGGCCTGTGGTATGTATTTCTCAGAGCCGTGGGCTGACAGGCTCTGGGGTCTGCCTTGACTCATGGAATGCTCATGCTAGAAGAGCACTTCATTTTGCTGGGAACCAGAGAGGGCAGAGCCAGGACCAGATATAGGTTCCCTGCTCACAGGTATAGCCCACTTGAGACTGCAGAGACCTTTGAAAAGGAGGTGGCGTTTGAGCTGCATCATGAAAAATGGAAATCTTCCCCCAACACATGTGACCTTAGGGAATATTTGCTGAAATCCTTTTATAAGAGTAATGGTCAGTTATTAACTGGTGCTCTCTTTGAGCCCGGAGTTTTGAATATCCGATGTGTAAAAAGTCAAGTCACCCCTGTTGTGTGGAGTACGAGGCAGGAGTGACCAAGTTTTGTGGTCTTGGTTACCAACTCCTTCCAGACAAGGAAGGTTAAAAAACCCTCTCCCTTTTGGCAACCTCTGAGGGCTGTCAGGACTGCAGGACAGTGAGAGGCCAGGTGGCCAGTCCTGACTTTGGCCCCATAAGGCTGGACCTGTGGGGCAGGTTGGCTCAGCTGCAGAGCAAATTCGTGGAACCAGGGACCACCGTTACCTTCACTTCCTCCCTCAGAGCTAAACGCCTAACCGTGGATTTCTACAGAGATGTTTCCTGAGGGTGGGGAGGAGTGAGGAGACAGCAGACTTCTTTGTTCAACATGGAAAATGATTAGGAAGAAAAACGAAAGCTTCATATTTACTTAATGAAAGTCATTAGCCACAGAGTGTGGAGCCAGTCGGACGGGGTTCCAGCTGTGTCCAGGCAGCCGGGTACACAGCACACTGGGTCCTCACTCCTGTCTCAGCCCCAGCAGCATCTCTTCTGTCTGTTTTAGATACTGTGAAGTTTTACTTACAAATCATTCTCCCTTGATTCAAGGGGAAAAAATTTGAAAACAACTGGTTTTGATAATTTCCAGGGTGCCCACTGACCTGTATATGAATCTTAAAGGTAGGTGTTATTACCTTATAGTAGAATCAAAGAAAGAGGCTCAGAGGCATTAAGTTTTTGTCCAAGGTCACAGAACTGGTGAGTGAGCAACTGGGATTCAAACTACACAGCTGGTTAGTGGCAGAGCCAGGACGTGCACGTCGGTTGCCCTGACTCTGGAGCCTAGGTGCTTTCTGCTGCCCCAGGTGTCTCTCGTAGAGGTAGAGCATGGTCCTTGACTGTCACATGACACCACCGCTGCCCTGCCTGAAATCTGTGGGCACTGCCTTTGGCCTCCCCATCACAGCCCAGAGAGAGCAAGTCGTCTCCAGCCTCCACACAAAGAGAGGGGCTCTGGCCAAGTGGAGCTCGCACCGTCTGCTCACACAGAAGCCTGGAGCCTGGCGTCCAGGGCGGGGATGTGATTGACAGGCCTGCCAGACAGCCTTTGTTAAGAGTGTGATCTTAGTCGGTTTATCTGGGCCTGAGCTGCCACCAAAGGCCTCAGGCAGGAGCTGTGATCCAGGGTGAGACTTGGCTGAGCAGCTTGGAATTAAAGCACTAATAATCCCCCCTTCCACCCCCTTCACGTCTGGAGAGAGGATCAGGCATTTATTTGTGAGGCTGTTTCAAACCCAAGAGCCTATGAATTACTCTTATCCTTGTCCTGCTGCCCCCTGCTCAGGCTTCGAGATAACTCCCCAGAGACATCTTCCTTCTTCCTGTTCCTGCTCCACCTCTATTCTCCTTTTCACAAAAGAGCACAGGCCCTGGAGTTGGACAGACCTAGGGTCCAGTCCTACCTCTGTCATTTACTAGCCATATGCAGGGAGTTACCTGAGCTCTATGGACCCCACTCAGGTTCGTAGTCTACAGGGGTAGCCCTGTCTTATAAGGCTGCTGAATAAAGTAAGGTGTGATGCATGTAAAATGCCCAGCACAGGGTCTGGCACATAGCAGGTACTTAAAAGTGGGATTTCTTCCCTTCCTTGTGGTCAAATAAAGTTAGGAAGTGCTGGATTCATCTAAGGAGATTTTCATACACCACCCAGAGCCTTTAATATGCCATGTGACCCACCAATGTGGGGAGCGGTATGTGGGGTTTTTCAAACTCACCCAACTAAGAACACTTTTAAAAGCACATCAAAGTACCTTGGACAGTAGGGTTCCCTGAAACACAGCTTGGGAAGGGCTGCTCTGAAGTATCTGGGTAGAGAAGTAAATAATAGGAAGCAAATTCAGAATTTATCACTGTTTCATAGTATGTTCCTGTCTTTCCAGTTAAGCTCTGAGCTCTGCACCACGCCCTCTCCAGGTCCTCCCATTGGGCTTGCGGTGCTGTGGCGTGGGGTTAGCTTCGATCTACTGAGGAAGGAATAGAAACACAGAAGGGTTAGATGGCGGGGCCACTTGTGGGCTGTTGCCTGGCTTCCCTTGCCTCAGTAACAGCTGCGCTACACTTGGTTGCTGACTTCTCCCCACAAAGGCTCCTGGCGCTTGAGTTTAAGTCATTAATGTGCCAGACAGTGGGGCCCTAGGAGTTGGGATGCATTCGGACCCTTCCCCGGCGCAGAGCAGTGCTGCACAGTGGTCAGCTGAGTGGGCTGTGGAGTCACACAGATGTGGGATCTAGTTCTGCCTTTGCCACTTATCAACTCTGTGGCCCTGGGCCTGAGCTTCATCTCACTGAATCTGTTTTTCATCACTGCGGGGAAGTTGGTAATAGAACCTTCCTCCTAGGGTTGTAAGGATATAAGCATAATACTTCTGGTGAATACAGAAAGGCGCCGTCCGTGTGACTGTCCGGCTGTTCCCCAGGCTTATCTGAGATGTGCCTGTATTTCTTTCTTGTCTTCAATCATTTGTTTGGCAGGTGTTTGCTAAACACCCCCTTCTTTTTTTTTTTTTTTTTTTTTTTTGTCTTTTTCCGTGTCCGCCAACGGATCCCA